ATCTGTTTCTTCACCTATAAAATACAAGTTGTAATTCATATTTATCTCAAGAAACTATTATCAAATGACAGCATTATTCATTTATTTAATAACCATCTACTGAGTTATTTTGAGGCTGGCCTCCATTTCTTCTAAAAAAGACACAGTTATCCTTTAGGAAGATTCCATTTTTAGCCACATGATTTGGATAGGATTTGTCCCCATCCTCAGATCCAGGAGTGAACTGTGAGTGACTTAATTCAATCAGCATATTTTATTACTCAACTACACAGTTCAGGGTTTCTGTACTGTGCGTGTTACTTCAGAAATGATTATATGCAAAGACTCATTTGTTAGTTTCTAGGAAAGAGCAACCGGAAGAAAAACCTAAGAATGTGATAGTGTGGCATAAGAATGCATAGTCTACAGAAATTTAATAATCAACTTGCTACCATAAGTGGAGAGTCAGAAGCTTCTGGAGAGACTATAGTGTGGAACCTTAAGATGAAGCCAATACTATGAATGGCCAGAAAGATGGAGAGAAATCACTGTGCCATCTCTTGAGCAGCTAGATCAAGCTTTGCCTAAAGTAAAAAACCCAGCTGCTTTTCAGTTTCATGAATAATTCTCTATTATTGTTTAAAAGCCACTAAAGTTGTTTTTTTTTGGGGGGGGCGGGGGGCTTGCAAATGAAAAGGACTTCCTATATACTGTGCAGTGTACTAGACATTAAAGTCTAACAAAAAGGAAGTATCTACCTTAGGTAACTTTAGAGTCTAGCCTAGAACTCAGGATTGTTAAAGCACTATGAAAGCTAACCAACACATATAAAAGCATGGAACCCCTTCATTTCCTGGTAAGAATGTCTACTGCTGTTTATATTGGGTATTGTGATATTTTTAAAAAGATTATTCTGGAGTGAACCTGAAGAGTTCACCAAAGAGAACCTGGGGAAATGAATGGAATTAGCACATCCTTTTAACGGGTTCAGGCTATTTCTAATATTTCTGTTCTGCAAATGAGGGTGAGAGCCAAAGGCATCCTTCACACAGGAAAAAGCAATTTAGTGGGAAGTCCAACAGGGTTTAAGATATTTGAAATAGACATTCTCCTCCGACAGTTATTCTAGTTCTGACAGAAAACAGACATGAAACAGAATACCATCTGCTATCGCAGTTATATAGCTACCAATAAGAACTGAACAAAATAAGAGCTAAGACAAGCTTCATTGTAGAGTAGTAACAGCCATACCAACTAGCTCAGAAATATGCTTCAGGCAAAATGAGTAGGACTTGATGAAGAATCCCTGAAGTATATGGGAGTTCCAGAGGCCGGAGGCATGGAAACCTCCAAAAAGCCAAAAGTGAAAACTGAACAAAACCAGCCTGGTCAACACCTTGATTTTGGCACTGTGACATCCTGAGTATAGAACACAGTCAAGCCCACATGGATTTCTGATGTACAAAACTTGAGTTAAGAAGTGGGTGTGGTTTTTAGCTGTTAAGTTTCCATTCATTGTTAAGCAGCAATTGAAAACTAATACAGTGTGTTTACTCAGAGTCTGAGTCTCTATTGAATCCAATGTCACTTCACATAATAAAGCTTTTTCCTTAATGGTAACGAGAGAAACTGGAATCATTTTCAGGTGAAAGTTAAACATGTGAAATGAACGCACTGATGGAAACCTGAGACACTGATCACTACTTGCTGAGGTCTGTTGGGCAGACCTTGACTCAGTGACGGATAGATGAAATACACTTATACACTTAGTACAGTGATTTGAGTGGGCCAGGGATGATCATCAGCTGCCTTTAGAGGGCAACTGCAGCTAACCGACCACTACTCCTTATATATACACATTTATATTTATATTTATATATAAATATAAGGAGAAGGAGGCTGTATCTTTCCTGTTGCTGCTATGACAAATTACCACAAACTTAGTGGCTGGCTTAAAACAACACAAAAGCATTATTTTAATAGTTATGGAGGTCAGAAGTCTATAATGAGTCATCAAAGCTATGTTCCTTTTGGAGGCTCTAGAGTAGCATCTGTTCCCTTAACTTTTCCAGCTTCTAGAAGATGCCTGCATTCTTTGGCTCATGGCCCCTTCCACCATCTTCAAAGCCAGCAAGGCAGTGTCTTTCAATCTCTCTGACTCTGACCTTGATGCCTTCTTGTATAAAGGACCCTTGCAATTACACTGAACCCACCCAAGTAATACAAGATAATCTTCCCATTTCAAGATCCCTAACTTAATTACATTCGTAAAGTCCCTTCTGCCATATAAGGTAGCATTCACAAATTTTGGTAATTATAATGTAGACATGTTTAGGGGGCATTATTCTACCTACCACAGGGACTATTATTAAAACTTCATTTCTTTGAATATACTTTAGGGAGTAGCAAAAATCAGACTGTTTTATTTGGAAGAAAAAGGACTAATCAGACATTAAAACTTGTTGTCCAAATAGTATTACTGAAGTATTTTTGAAGTATTTTACTTACCTAATACTTCAAAAAGAAGTACAGTTTTCTGAACATGTTCATGCCAATACTTCATGCTTTCAATAACTGCAGAAATAATTCTTAAAGAATTGTCTTTTTCCTTAAACTGTACCTGATACAATGAGGTTTCCTTTTGAAAAAATAAAAAATATAGCATTAGAAAAATATTTCTTTTTTTCATCATACTCATTTATCTTCTATGTAAAAATTCTAAGTCCTTATAATGGACAAATGTGTAAAAAGAACTACTGAAAATTTTAGTTACCTCCCTAAATTAATGCCATCATTACTCTATTGGAGGAGGAGAAACCAGGGTGCACTTGGAAACAATTAATCAAGAGGAGAATTATTTATATGGGCACTTGTTCACTTATTCATTCACGGAATATTTTAAAGCATCATATGCCAGATCCTGTGACAAATATAGGTAAAGCCATTCCTTTCCCTAATGCACTCACACTCTAGGGAAGGAGCCAGACACATTCATTCATTCATTTACTTGTTTCAAAAGTGTTTATTGGGCACCTCCTACCTGACAAACGTAGCTATTAAGGATACATTCATGGACAAAATAATCAAGATATCTGCTCTCAAAGATTTTATAGTCTAGTGGAGGATTTATAAAATAAATAACATAGAATGTCAGGAAATGTACTTTAAGAAAAAAACACAAGGTAAAGGGAGAGAGAGAGAGATGGGGGTTATTATTTTAAGTGGGTTGTTGAATGAGGACAGAGGGAACGGCAAGTACAAAGGCCCTGAGAATGCAAAGTTCTTGGCATTTTTTAAGATCAACTAAGAATAAAGTGTATTAAGATACCAATTTTCAAAGGTAGGGGGACACTCTCCTTTGTGAGGGTTAGGGTTGTGAAGAATACATGATGAAACTTTTCTTCAAAATACAAGTAGTTTCCTCCCTCTTCCCCCTCTTAACCAAGATCCTAACATGTCTCCTGTTGATGATTATGGCCACAGTAAACCCGTTACTAAGGAGATTATGTCATACAATTCTTGAGTGCAAGGAAACATAAAGTTGAGAACCACTGTGAAACATGCTTTATTAGTCTTTTTTCCAACAAAAAACAAAACACGCAAAAATAGATTTTACCCCAATGGCTTACGCTTTTTCAGACATACAGGCAGAACAAAAACTCACAACAGTAAGAAACTGTTAGCAATCATCCTAGGCTGAAAAGACAAGAGGAGAAAATAAAAGTATCAAGAAAAGCTATACTCATGAAAAAGCTACATCATGCAGTGACACAGCCACTGCTGGTGATAGAATATTTAAGACTGGAGAAAGTGAGAAAACTCAATCTTTCCTCCCACCCTTTGATGTCATACCAGTGATTCCTACTGGATGACCTCTAGCAAAAGCCAGCAAGTAAAGAATCTCAGGATGATGTACTTTGTAGGACAGTTCAGCCTTCCAGAACAGAGAAGGGCAGGTGAAAAATCAAGTGGGCCAAGGGGCCAGGGAGCAGAGACAAAGAATAACCAGCACACATAATATGTAAATAACATTTACAAAGAATAATTAGAGCACTGAGCATAAAGAGGAAGTACAGTTGACATACAGCTTTAGGGAAGAATATAAACCAAAGCACAGAGTGTATGCTATGTTTAGAGAATTGTGACAAGTCCGAAGTGGCTAGAGCATTGGACAATTAGTAAAATATTAAATATGAGGCTACAAAAGTAGAACAGGACAAGATCATAAAGCAAAGGTCATAATAGGTGATCATAAAGAAAACTACGGACTGCAGTGCAAATCTAACCTGCCATCTGTTAGTGTAAATGCTTGTTGGAGGACAGCCATGCACATTCACTTACGTATTGTTTATGGATGCTTACAAGCTACAGTGGCAGAGTTCAGTAGAATTGAGTAGCTGCAACAGAGACAGTATGGACCATAAAGCCAAAAATACTTACTAACTGGCCCTTTAAAGAAAATGTTTGCTGACCTCTGTTGAAAAATACTTAGAATGACATATGAAGAGCCTGGGTAACTTTACCAACAATAGATAAACCATCATTATCTTTAAAATGAGTATAAAGTGAAAGTCAAAAATCCAGTAGAAAACTCTAAAGTTTGAAAGGAAAAGGAGCAGCCACTCATATCCTCTAAGAAAATATTCTGGAAACTAACATTCACCCACTTAAATGGAACTAAATATTTATGCTAATCAAGTAATGTATGTCATGGAATTGATTTCAGATGCTCTTATCTCTGTATATTTCTAAATATTTACCTCACATTTTAAAAAATGTGAATAGGTCATTAATTGATATTTAAACATTTACCTTCAGAGTGTTTTCTTCTGTAAAATCATCCAATATTTGTTTCTTATATTGATTTTGTTGAAAATTGGGCTTAAATGTCTGTAATGCACTGTTTTTGTCTAGCCCTCTCACTGTGGAACCAGATATTTTTGATGAATGTGTTTGTCTAGGTAGCTTGGTTTCTTTGCTGCGAGATAAGTTAGGAGGTTCAGGTATTCTTAACTGTTTTTGTTGCTGAGCTCCCAAACTCATTGGACAGGAATTTTTTCCATCATTTGCCACTAAGTTTGTTCGTTTACACTGAGGCCTAAAATCATTTTTATTCCAAGTTTTCACGTTGGTAGTTTTGTTGCCATCTTTGTAGCTGTAATAGTGGGAAAAAAAGAGGATTTGTTTCTATAAGGTTTCTTAATTATAAAAAAATAAAAAATTAATTTATATGGCAATTTATTATTTAGAAAGCACTTTATAACTACTGACTACTTAGAAATTCCAAATACATCACAACAACCCTCCAATATATTATTATTTCTCTTTCTAGATGAGAAGACTGATCCTTAATGAGGCATTAACTTGCCCAAAGTCATACAGCAAACTACTCACAAGTCTAGAGCCTGGGAAATACAAGATCTCCTAACTCAGAGTCTAGCACTACAAAGTATATTTTTAAATAATAGCATCCTTCTTACCATCCAAGTAGTAAGATTTTGAGGACATCTGCATACTTCTTTATATATTCAAAATTTTAAAATTTTCTACAAAGTAAAATTTTAAGAAGTTATACTGTGGCTTATCAATGATTTTAAATCACAAGGAGAATACATACAGGCAGGATGGATAGCTACTAATACTTGATTAGAAATTTTATGCTTTTACTACGTAGCTTAAAAGCCCTATAATGAATTAAGTGCAGCATTTGCCAGCAACATTAAGTGTGTTATATCAGCTGACCAGAACATTATGTTAGATGCTGATGAGGCCAAAATCAAAAGCATAATTTCTGAGCAGGCTAGTTAGGAGTTCCACAGGAAATAAAACTAGTCCAAGTCACAAATTCTTTTTTTGTTGTTTTTTTCTCAGAGACAGGGGCTGGAGTGTAATGGTGAGAACACAGCTCACTCTAGCTTCACTCTCCCAGGCTCAAGTGATCCTCTCGCCTCAGCCTCCTGAGTAGCTGGAACAGGTGAGTGCTACTATACCCAGCTAATTTTTGTTATTTTTTCATAGAGACAGTGTTTCACCATGTTGCCCAAGCTGGTCTCAAACTCCTGGGCTCAACTGATCCACCTCCTTGGCCTCCCAAAGTGCTGGGACTACAGGTATAAGCCACCATTCCCAGCCCACAAATTCTTAATTCTCAGTAATTTTCCTGGAAATACAAGTATCACAAGAGGGCGACCAATACAACCACCCTTTATTTAGGTAAATAATCCAAAAGAGGTCCAGGTATACTACTGAGCAGGAACAAATTCAAATTTTATGAGGCCTGAAGCTTGTATAATTTAGGAAACACTGTTAATTGGGTATAAAGTTAGTATAAAAGAATGAGAAAGCAAAATTACAACAATTTAAGTTATAAACACCACAAACATCACAATACTCAGAAAATATATTATTAGAATTATTGTTAAATGAACTGCCTGATACCCCTTTATAGGAAGTTTTCCTACCTTGATCACTTCTTCATATGACAATAATTTTATAATATTTTTTGGATTCATGATCTCATTATGTTGCCCAGGTCAGTCTCAAACTCATGGGCATAAGTGATTCTCCTGCCTCAACCTCTGGAACAGCTGGCACTACAGACATGTACCACCACACCCAGCAATTTTGTAATTTTATTTTCAATAGAGAGAACAGAAATAGTTTCGTCTTTCCTCTCTCTCACAGTTAGAGAAATTACGTTTATTATTCATGGTCTAGAAATATTTATTTCAGCTTTACAACTCTCTATTGGTAACAGCACATTTGTAGTAATATCAAAGATCACTGATCACAATCATAAAGATATAATAATAATGAAAAAGTTTGAAATATTGCAAGAAATGCCAAAATGTGACATAGAATCATGAAGTGAGCACATGCTGTTGGAAAAATAGCACCAATAGACTTACTCAATGCAGGGTTACCACAAACCTTCAACTTGTAAAAAATGCAAATCTGTGAAGTGCAATAAAGTGCAATATAATAAGATAGGCCTAAATAAAGAAGATTTGACTGGATTAGAGATCCAACTATATGCTGTCTACAATCAACTCAGTTTAGATTCACAAGACACATAAAAGCTTAGAATAAAGGGATGGAAAAAGATATTCCATGCAAACGGCAACCAAAAGTAAACAGGGGTGGCTGAGTTTATGTCAGACAAAATAGACTTTAAATTAAAAGTTGTCTCTAAAGCCAAAGAAAGTCATTATATAATGAAAATGGGTAAATTCAATAGGAAGATATAAAAATTGTAAATATATACACATCCAATATTGGAGCTCCTAAGTATATAAAGCAAATATTGACAAACCCAAAAGAAAAATTGACAGCAATATAATAATAGAAAGAAAGCTCAATACTCTACTTTTAATAATAGATAAATCATCTAAACAGAAAAATCAATAAACAGTGACCTTGAATAACACTATGGATCAAATGGACCCAAAAGACATACATAGAATTTGCCACCCAACAGCAGAAGACTACACATTCTCCTCAAGCACAGATGGAACTTTCTCCAGGATAACTCCCATGTTAGGCCACAAAATCAGACTTAAATTTAAGAAGATCAAAATCATACCAAGTATCTTTTCTGACTATAATGGTATAAAACTAGAAATGAATAACAGCTAGAAAATGGAAAAATTCACAAATATAACAACACACTCTTGAACAACCATTAATCAAAGAGGGAATTAAAAAAGAAAATTTTCAAATTATCTTGAGACAGAAACAAAACACAACATACCAAAACTTATGGGAAAGCAAAAGCAGTGATAAGGGAAGCTTATAGAAATAAATGCCAAAGGGGAAATAAAAAGATCTCAAATAAACATCCTACCTTCACACCTAAAGGAATTAGAAAAAGAGTAAGAAACCAAGCCCAAAATAAGCAGATAAAGGAAATAAGACAACTAGAGTAGAAATAAAATAGAGAATAGGAAAAAAAAAAACAAAGTAAAACTAGGCTGGGCATGGTGGCTCACACTGTAATCCTAGTATTTGGGAGGCCGAGGCAGGTGGATCACCTGAGGTCAGGAGTTTGAGACCAGCCTGGCAAACACGGTGAAACCTCATCTCCACTAAAAAATACAAAAATTAGCCAGGCGTGATGGTGGGTGCCTATAATTCCACCTACTCTGGAGGCTGAGGCAGGAGAATCACTTGAACCGGGGAGGAGGATGTTGCAGTGAGCCAAGATGGTACCACTGCACTCCAGCCTCCAACAGAGTGAGACTCTGCCTCAAAAAAAAAAAAAAAAAAAAGGCAAAACTAAGAGCTTATTTTTTGAAAAGATAAAGTCAACAGCCCCTTACATAGACTAAAAAAAAAAAAAAAAAAAGAGAGAAGGTTTAAATAAATGAAAGAGGAAACATAAAATGGATTTCTCAGAAATAAAAAAGATCATAAGGGGCTATTACGAACATTATATGACAACAAATTAGATAACACGGAAGAAATGGATAAATACCTAGAAACATGCAAACTACCAAGATTGAATCAAGAAGATGCAGAAAGCCTAAACAGACCAATAATAAGTTACAGAAGTAATAAAAAAATCTCTCAACAAAGAAAAGCCCAGGACCAGATGACTTCACAGTGAATTCTATCAAACATTCAAAGATAAATTAATACCAATCTTTCTTAAATTCTTTCATAAAATAAGAGGGAATACTTCTAAATTCGTTTTATGAGGCTAGCATCACTCTGATATCAAAATCAAACAAAGACACTGCTAGAAAACTACAGACCAATATCACTAAAAAACAGATGCAAAACCCCTCAATAAAATACTAGCAAGGCAAATCCAACAGCATATCAAAAAAACTACCTAACGAGCACTCTGCTCACTACATAGGTAAGGGGACAGATTCCATACTTCAAACCTTAGCATTAACAATACTCCCATGTAACAAATCTGCACGTGTATCCCCCATATTTAAAGCGAAAGTTGAAATCTTTTCTTAAAAAATTACACACCATGATTAACTGAGATTTATTTCTGGGATGCACAGTGGTTTAATATGTGCAAATCAATAATGTTATACACCACAGTAGCAGAATTAAAAATAGATGCAGAAAAGGCATCTGACAAAGTTCAATATCCATTTAGTTTACTCTCAAAACAGTAAGTACAGAAGGAACATACTCCAACACAATAAAGGTCATTTGCAAAATTCCCACAGCTAACATCATAATGGGGAAAAAGTGGAAGTTTTTTCTCGAAGATACAGTACAAGGCAAGGATGCCCACTTTCACCACTTCTATTCAAACATACTTACTGGCTGGGCATTTTAAATCTGAAAATCCAAAATTTGAAATTCTCCAAAATTTGTAAGTTTTTGAGCAACAACATGAGGCTCTATCAAAATGCCCATTGAGGCATTTCAGATTTTGAATTTTCAGATTTAGGATACTCAACTGGTAGGTATCCTGCAAATATTCCAAACTCCAAAAAAATTGAAAACATTTCTAATCCCAAACATTTCAGGTAAGGAATTCTCAACTTTTCTTGAAAGTCTTAGCCAATCGATTAGCCAAGAAAAAGAAATAAAAGGAGTGCAAATTGGAAAGGATGAAGTAAATGTCTCTGTTTGCAGATGACATGATCCTGTATGTAGAAAACCCCAAAAACTCCATTAAAAAACTGTTAGAACTAAAAAACAAATTTAGTAAAGTTGCAGGATACAAAATTAACATACAAACATCAGGAGCATTTCTTTACATCAATAACAGATATCCCAAAAGAAAACCAAGAGAATGATCCCACCACAATAACATAAAAAAGAATAAAATACCTAGGAATAAATAGCCAACATGGAGAAAGGGCTATACACTAAAAAGTATAAAACACTGATTAAAAAAAAAAGACACTGAAGAGAAAATAAATGAAAAATCCTGTGTCATGGATTTGAAGAATTAATATTGTTAAATGTCCAAACTACCCAAAATGATCTACAGATTCAATGTAATCTCTATCAAACTTTCAATGATATTTTTCACAGAAATGGAAAAAAAATCCTAAAATATTAAACCACAAAATACTTCGAATAGCCAAAACAATCTTGAGAAAGAACAAAGCTGCAGCCATCACCCTTCCTTATTTCAAATTATACCTGAAACCTACAGTAACTGCCACAGTATGGTACTGGTATTAAAACAGCCACATAGACTAACAGAACAGAGTAGAGAGCCCAGAAATAAACCCACACATTTAGATGTAATTGATTTTCAACAAAAGTGAGAAGAACACATAATGGGGAAAAGATAGTCTCTGCCATAAACGGTGTTGGAAAAACTGGGTATCTACAAGCAGAAGAATGGACTTGGACCCTTATCTTATACCATATACAAAAGTCAACTCAACATGGATTAAAGACTTAAATAAGAAGTGAAATCATAAAACTCCTAGGAAAAAACAGCGAAGAAACTCCTTAACATGGGTCTTGCAAATTACTTTTTTTTTTTTTAAAGAAGGGGGAAAAAAAAAGAAAAGAAAAAGAGGGAAAAAGGAATATTACTTCATTCCTAAAATGGGTTTCAATAATGGCCGATCAATATTTTGAGTGTTTAAAGTGGTTAATGCATATTTTATGTGTTTAAAATGGAGACCCCTATTGTGTTTATTTGTTCTGGCTCTGAGTTCAAGTCCTGGATATCGTTATCAATTTGTTGTCTCGTTGAATCTAAATCTCATTATGTGTCTTATGTATCTGGGTGTTAAGATCTCTTATTGTTACATTAATCCTTTTACCCTTGCATCCTTGTAGCTTTGAAATCTATTTTATTAAGTGTGAGAATTGCAACTCCTGCTTTTTATTTATTTATTTTTGCTCTCCATTTGGTTGGTGAGTTTTTTTCCATCCCCTTGTTTTGAGTCTTTGTATATCTTTAGATATATCGTTAGATTTTGTGGATAATTTACATTTTGTGTGTTTAAAATGGAGAGCTCTATTGATTTTATTTGTTCTGGATCTTAGTTCCAGTCCCAGATATCGTTATCAGTTTTCTGTCTCGTTGAATCTAAATCTCATTATGGGTCTTATGTATCTGGGTGTTAAGATCTCTTATTATTACATTAATCCTTTTACCCTTGTATCCTTGTAGCTTTGAAATCTATTTTGTCAAATATAAAAATTGCAACTCCTGCTTTTTATTTATTTATTTTTGCTCTCCATTTGGTCGGTATGTTTTTTTTCCCAACCCTTTATTTTGAGTCTATGTATATCTTTGGATATACCGTTAGATTTTGTCTGTATCTTTTGATTGGGAGATTTGGTCGATTTAAATTTAGGGTTGCTGCCATTTGATATTAACTGACTATCTTGTCCTTTTGTTGATGAAAATTCTTCTTTATGTTAATGCTCTTTACTTTTTGGTGTATTTTTAGAAAGGGTCATACTGGTTGTTCCTTTCAGTGTATAATGCTTCTTTTAGAAGTTCTTGTAAAGCAGGCCTGGTGGTAATAAAATCTCTGAGTACTTGCTTGTTCCTAAAAGATTTTATTTTTCCTTCAAATGCAAAGCTTAAATTGGCAGGATATGAAATTCTGGGCTGAAAGTTCTGTTCTTTAAGTATATTGAATATTGGCCCCCACTCTCTTCTAGCTTGTAGGGTTTCCGTTGAGAGATCTGCTGTAAGCCTAATAGGCTTACCTTTATGGGTAACTTGATCTTTCTCTCTGGCTGCCCTTATTATTTTCTCCTTCGTTTCGATCTTGGTGAATCTAACGATTATGTGTCTTGGGGTTGGTCTTCTTGAGGAATATCTTTGTGGTGTTCTCTGTATTGCCTGGGGTTGAATAGTGTCCTGCTTTGCTAAATTAGGAAAATTTTCCTGGATAATGTCCTGGAGAGTATTTTCCAGCTTGAATTCATTCTCTCCGTCACATTCAGGTACACCAATCAAGCGTATATTAGGTCTTTTCACACAGTCCCATATTGCTTGGAGACTTTGCTCATTCCTTTTTATCCTTTTTTCTCTATTCTTGTCTTGTCGTTTTGTTTCATTAAGTTGGTCTTCGACCTCTGATATCCTTTCTTCTGCTTGATCCATTTGGCTGTTTAAGCCTGTACATATTTCACTAAGTTCTCGTGTTGTATTTTTCAACTCCATAAGTTCATTTGTATTCCTCTCTATATTGTCTATTCTTTTCAACATTTCATCGAACCTTTTTTCCAAGTTCTTAGTTTCTTTACATTGGGTTAGAACAAGTTCCTTTAACTCCCAGAAGTTTCTTATCATCCACCTTTTAAAGCCAACTTCAGATAATGGAACACAGTCCTTTTCCATCAGGGCTTGTTCCGTTACTGATGAGTCCTTTTCCATCAGGGCTTGTTCGGTTGCTGATGAGTCCTTTTCCATCAGGGCTTGTTCTGATGGGTTCTGATTTGAGTATACTCGGCCTTCTTAGGCTGTTTTTTCCCCTTCATTGTAGATGAACCGCCTTTCTAATTAGGTTTCTGAGTCGACGTTATTGATTCCCAGTGCTGGGATCCGAGCAACCCACTGTGGCGGCCTAAATAGCAGCGATAAGACTGATGGTGCTCTTCTGCCCGGGAATCTCTGGTCTGGCTTCCCTCTTGAGTCCGCAACAAGCGGCTCTGATTTCCCAGAGCTCCAAACTCCGGTCAGTAGGGGAAGCAGTCCAGTTGGCTCTGCATGAAGAGCTGCTGCGTCCAGACGCCGGCAAAACCGCTGCGGCGGCCACAAGAGTCACGCTGGCGACCCGTGGGGCTCCTCCACTGGGAATCGGCTGATTGGTGAGTGACGAAAATTCATCTAAAGATGTGGCGTCGTCTCGTTCTCTGAGCTTTCACTGGGAGCTACAATCCCGAGCTGTTAGTGGTCGGCCATCTTGGATCGATCTCGCAAATGACTTTTTAAAATATGACACCAAAAACACAACAAAAGCAAAAATCAACATGTGAGACCTACATCAAACTAAAAAGCTTCTGTACAGTAAAGGAAATAATCAACAGAGTGAAAAGACAGTCTACAGCATGGGAGAAAATTTTGGCAAACCACATATCTGATAAGGAGTTAATATCCAAAATATTTAAGGAATTCACAGAACTCAGTAACAAAAACAAGTAACACAATTTAAAAATGGGCAAAGAACCTAAATAGACATTTTTCTAAAGAAGACACACAGATGGCCAAAAGGTATATAAAAAGGTGCTCAACATCACTAATCAGGAAAATGTGAATCAGAACTACAACAATAGTTAAGGATCAATTCACACTTGTCAGGATAGCTGTCATCAAAAATTCAAAAGATAACAAGTGTTAGCAAGGGTGTCGAGAAAGGCAATCCTTGTACACTCTTGGTGGGAATGTAACTTGGTATAGCCATTATGAAAAACAGTATGGAACTTCCTCAAAAAAATTAAAAACAGAACTACTATATAATCTAACAATCCCACTTTTGGATATATATCCAAAGAAAATGAAATTAGTATCTCAAAGAGATATCTGCATTTTCAGATTCATTGCAGTATTATTCACAATAGCCAAGAGGGCCAGACACAGTGACTTATGCCTGTTGTCCCAGCACTCTGGGAGGCCAAGGCAGGTGGATCACCTAAGGTGAGGAGTTTGAGACCAGCTTGGCCGACATGGTGAAACCCTATCTCTACTAAAAATACAAAATTAGTTGGGCATAGTGGTACATGCCTATAATCACAGCTACTCAGGAGGCTGAGATAGGAGAATCACTTGAACCTGGGAGGCGGAGGTTGAGGTGAGCCGAGATCACACCATCGCACTTATATTGTCTTGTCGCCATTGCCTGGGCAACAAGAGCGAAACTTCACCTCAAAAAAAAAAAAATTAAAAAAAATCCAAGATATATAAACAATCTAAGTGACAGATAAATGGACTAAAAAATATGTCATGAAGAAATAACAGAATACTATTTAGACATTAAAAGGAAGAAAATCCTGCCATTTGTGACAACGTGGATGAACCTAGAGGATGTATGCTAATTGAAATAAGTCAGACATATTAATAAAAATACTGTATATGCTTACTTATATGTGAGATCTTTACAAATCAGACTCATAGAAGTAGACAGGAGAATAATGGTTTCCAGCGGTGAAGAGGTGAGAGAAATAAGATGATGTCAGTCAAAGGGTACAAAGTTATATAGGATGAATAAAATCTAGAGATCTAACGTATAGCATGAGGACTAAAGTTAATAATACTGTGCTATACAGATGAAATTCTCTTAGAGAGTAGATAGTAAATGTTCATACTACAAGAAAAAAATGGTAATTATATGAAGAGATGGATATGTTAACTGGCTTGACTGAAATAATCAGGTAACTATGTATATGCATATTAAAATATCAGGTTATACAACTTAAATACATATAGTTTTAATTAAAAAAAAAAAACAGCTTTTTTTGAAACAGGGTCTCACTCTGTCTCCCAGGCTAGAGAGCAGTGGCAGGATTTCAGCTCACTGCAAATGCCACCTCCCAGGTTCCAGTGATTCTCCTGCCTCAGCCTTCCGAGTAGCTGGGATTACAGGCACTCGCCACCACGCCTGGCTAATTTTTCTATCTTTTGGTAGAGTCGGGGTTTCACCATGTTGGCCAGGCTGGTCTCAAACTCTCAACCTCAAGCCATCTGCCCACCTCAGCCTCCCAAAGTGCTGGGATTATAAGTGTGAGCCACTGCACTCGGGCCTAATTAAAAATTTTTAACATAATAGAAGTACAATAAATATTCAACTGCAGTCAGAACTATAACAAGGATGAGAGTGTCAAGAGAGTGTTCCAGAGGCAAATAAGAACCCCCCCCAAAAAATATTTCTCATATCTTTGGCCATCTTGAGCAAGTTGAAGATTTAAAAGATTAAAAATTTAGTTATATGGGTATTGGGGGTCTGCCACTTCCTTTTATGAATTACTGACAAGTTATATACCATTTTAGATTATTAAACTTTTACAATAGATCTGTGTAACAAGAATGGCTGAAATATATGCTGTGTGATAAGAAAACAATACTGGGTGAATCAGCACAATAGGCATTCTAAGTATTCCACCACATACAAACATGTTAAATATATTTGTGTATTTGTAAAATCCTTAATCAATGGTTTTCTTGGTGGTGATAGACAAGACAGCACAAACTTACATAAATACATCAAAACTGTATGTTTTATCCACAATATATACTGAGCATTGAAGTAACCTTAGATATCATCTAGTTCAACTTTTTTCCCATGGATAAAGATGTAAGACTCAAAAAAGGTGAAATGGCTTTTTTCTGTTGAAAAATAAATAAATGGTTAACTCTGGATCAGTGCAACTATGATAATTTTTTACCTTTTTTCTAGAATTATTCTATTATTTTTATAATGAGAATAATAAGTTATTTTAGAAAAAAACAATATCCCAATATTCCTTTAAAATTTATGCATTTACCTGATCCTGTTTGCCAGTTTGTGTTCAGTTCTCAGCTTCTAAAGCCTTCATCTCACTGAGCACAATGCTTATGCCTGTAATGCCAGCACTTTGGGAGGCTGAGGTGAGGGAATCACTTGAGCCCAGGAGTCCAAGACCAACCTGGGGAACATAATGAGACCTCATGTCTGCTAAAAATTTAAAAATTAGCCAGGCATGGTGGTGCACACCTACAGTCAGTCCCAGCTACTCAGGAGGCTGAGGTGGGAGGATTGCTTAAGCCCAGGAGTTCAAGGTTGCCATCATGCCACTGCATGGCAGCCTGGGCAACAGGGCGAGATCCAGTCTCGAAAAAAAAAGATTAAAAATATTTTAAATTTAAAAGTCCTCATATCACCTCAATTCCTCAACTGAGATTTCTTAACTACTAAGTAAGTGCAAGCTCAATGTCTCCTCAGAGTCTAAAGCCAATTGTAGGAGCTTTGGCAAAGAAGCCCATCTTTACTAATCTTACTAATTGCCCATATCCTAATTCTGGTGAATGAAATCTATATTGACAATGGCTCTAACATTGGAGTGTACTTTGTTCTTGAAAACTCCATGCCCCAAGGAAGTCTAGACTAGGCTGCCAGAAAATATACAGGATGCCCAATTAAATTTGAATTTCAAATAAGCAACAAATTTTTGATATAAGAATGTCCCAAATATTGGCTGTAACACATACTAAAAAATTATTGATTACCTGAAATTCAAATTTAACTGGGAATCCTTTATTTTTATTTGCTAAATCTGGCGACGCTAGCCTGGTCTCTAAACCTGAGGATTAAATCTTTAAATGGTTCAAAAGATCTTCAATAGATTACCAACTGCCTGTATCGATTTTTAAATGTTCTCTCTTCCTGGATTTTCTGTTGTATTCCAACAGTCTGACAGATCATGTATTAATTCAAATTGTAATATCCAATACTGGCTACCTGTCCAGATTAAAATCTTTTACCTAGTTTTCTGTCTAGAGCTTGTGAAAATGGATTTTTTTCTAGCACCTGAAGTTGGAACAATGTCTCTAAGAACCATCCCAAACCACTGAACAGGCCCAGTTTTAAGGCCTTGTTGTGAAGAAACTAATGGACTGGTCCTGGGGAAACTAGCATGAATAATAAAATCAAAACTCTTTTCTATTTTTTTTTTTTTTGAGACAGAGTCTCACTCTGTCAACCTGGCTGGAGTGCGGTGGCACTATCTTGGCTCACTGCAACCTCCGCCTCCCTGTTCAAGTGATTCTCCTGCCTCAGCCTCCCAAGTAGTTAGGACTACAGGTGTGCGCCACCACGCCCAGCTAATTTTTGTATTTTTAGTAGAGACAGGGTTTCACCATGTTGGCTAGGATGGTCTCGATCTCTTGACCTTGTAATCCACCCACCTCGGCCTCCCAAAGTGTTGGGATTACAGGCATGAAATAAAGATATTATTTCAATGTATTTATTAACAACTATATAAAAAGTTCCCCCTTTAAAAAAATACAGTATCTTTATCTAATAAAAATAAGAATAGTATTAACTTCATATGGTTGTTGCAGGGACTGAAATAATATATCAAAGCACTTAACAATGACTGACATATGTATTTGGTGGTGTTTTCCCAGCACTTTGTTTCCAAAGTTATTTCCTTCAATATTGCCATTTATCCAAGGCTATTAAAGTCCAACCAAAAAAATCCATGTTCTTTTTCTATCAATTTTTTCATGCTATTTAAACATTAAACTTTGGTCCTTATGGCAAGAACCCTCACCATCTTTCGACCATCTTATTCACTCCTTGAGCCCCTATTGTTGCAGATGCATATGTATCTCAGCTTCCATTTTTCTTTCTTCTTCCATTCTGTTTACCTCGAAGCTGACTGTCTTACAGGATAAGAATGAGCACTCTAACCGGTTCTCAATTCCTAAATATAACCAATACTAAGATATGATTCCTATCTATTGTCAATTAAATCATTAACAACCCATAAGCAAAATCATAAATTCATGGCAATAAATATTGCCAGAAATTTCATTATCACATTAAGAATCTTTTGAAGCATAATCACTGTCAAATTTACATATTTTTAAAATTTTTGATGCATGTTAAGTTCTTTTATAAAACATGATTAATACTGCTATAGCTACTATTTATAGAAATTTTCTAAATGTAATTCTATTTAAGAAATGAAGAAGAAAAGAAAGAGGGAAAGATGAAGAGAAAGACAGGAAAATGAGAAAGAATAGAAGAACAAAGAAATTTTAAGTAGACTCACCTCCAACCACTCTGGCTTCTTTCAGATTTTGATTGAACAGAGTTAAAGACAGAATCTTGACTTCTCAGAGGACGAGAAACTGAATGTGGTATTTGCCTTTCAAGGAAATATGTCTTGTTAAATATTAATAGTTTGCTTTCAAATTGAGAAACTAAGATATACATAAAAGAATAACATCAGTCAGTAACAGACACACATCCATTGGTTTATATTTTTCTACATACCCAGTGTCCATTGTTTTTATTACAGGAGCCAACTCTGGATTCATAGCTTCCCAGGCCCAATCTCAAAAGATATAAGTAACATAGATAAAAGTAAGATAGGTAGTATTTTTCAAAATAATAACTTCATGCTTATTTAATTTGGGGGGTTTAAAAACTTGAAGAAGAAAACTTGCATATACAAACTTCTTCAACAATACTTTGTTGGAAAATTTGTCACAGCCTGCCTTATTAATTTTTATAGATGTCTTTCTTATCCATTATATTTTAAGCAAAGATAATTTAATCTGTATCTCTTCTACAATCAGTTCTAGTATAGTATCTCAAACTTTGTAACATGAATTTCATTTAATCCAATGTTTCTTGAACTTTTTAAATCCCACCAACAGAAAGAAATACATCATAACTCGAGCATATATACGCATGGTGTGTGTGTGAGACAGAGACAGAGAGAGAGAGAGGAGGAAAAAGAATATAAAACTTCACCATCAAATCTTATCCTTAATATGTGTAATACACTGACACAGTCATGTGTCACTTAATGACAGGGATACATTCTAAGAAATGCCTTGTTAGGTGATTTTGTTGTGCAAACATCAGAGAGTGTGCTTACGAAAACCTGGAGAGTATAGCTTGCTACACACCTAGGGTGTAGTTACAGCCTATTGCTCCTAGGCTGCAAACTTGTGCAACATATTACTCCACTCAATACCATAGGCAACTGTAATATAATAGTATTTGTGTATCTGCACATATCTAAACATAGAAGAGATACAGTAAAAATGTAATACAAAAGACAAAAACCAATACACTCAAGAGGGCACTTACCATAAATGAAGCTTGCAGGACTTAAAGTTGCTCTGGGTGAGTTAGTGATTAAGTGGTGAGTGAATATGAAGGCTTAGGGCATTACTATACACTACTGTAGACTAAACACACCATATATTTAGGCTATACTAATTTATAAAAAACATAATAAAGTGTGCTATGATATCATCACAGCTACTATGTCACTAGGAGATAGAAATTTTTCAGCTCCATTATAATTGTAACGGCACCACCATCACACAGGTAGTCCATCACTGATCAAAACATTGTTATGTAATGCATGGCTGTATTATCTATTCTACTCTACTTTATTCTCTTCTAGTTCTTCTTTTTAAAGATCAATTATATCCCAGCCCAACTAATGGATCAAGACAAAATTTTTTTAAAAAAACAAAAAACAAAAACATTGATGTAGTCCTCTCTCTTGCCCAACACAGGAAAATTACTATTTCTGACAAATAGTAACCCTGGTCAGAGCCTGAAATACTTCAGGAGGACACACATCATGAGATACAGAGGACAGCCTACCAATGACCTCTGAGAACTAGAGCTCAAAGGTTATGTAAACTCCCAGCAAGGGCAACTTAGTTCATGTGCCAGTTGAAACTATAAAGAAGCCCACTGGCCGAAGGTGTGTCTTAGTCCGTTTGAACTACTACAACAGAAAATACTTTAGAATGGGTAATTTATAAATATGATACATTTATTTCTCAGTTTTGGAGGCTGGGAAGTCAAGGCTTTGTACTGTGTCCTCACATGACAAAAGGATCAAACAGCTCCCTCACACCTTTTATAAAGTCACTAATCTTATTCAAGAGGGCAGAGCCTTAATTACCTCCTAAAGGCCCCACATCTTAATACTATCACACCAGCAGTTAAGTTTCAGTGTATGAATTTGGGGAGGGGGGGGACACACTGAGACCACGGAGTAAACAGCCAACAAATGAATGAGGCAAAAATGCCCTAAGAAGAGAGAAAGACTACCGCCAGGCACCAGGTATTTCCAGGCGTTTGCATTTCCTAAAATCTATCTTTTTTTTTTCCATTTCTCCTGTGTTCCCATGCACACTTATCCCCACTCTTGAGACAGTTCATGTGTTTCCATTCTTTACCACCAAATGTATAAGCTATATTATCCGCACGTATTTTGAGAATGAAAAAATATTTTTTCCGATATATGTTACTACTTTATTAGAACAAAGGTTCCAAATCTAAGATACTCCATTTAAATGCTAAGCTACCATTGTAGACAAGGAAACTCAAATTCCTGACCTGGAATGTTCAGAAAGAGCCATGTAATTTCTCTATGTGGATAATGGAAAGAAGAAAAAATAAACTGTTTTCATTATAATAGAAAATACAATTTTCTATAATCCTAGCTTGAATTTCGTGAAAATTTTTACCTTATTGATTTTCTTACCTGCAGGTAGAGGAGGAAAATCAAAATTGTCAGAAGGAGTACTGATACCTGGATCATCTTTAAGTGGATTGGAAGTTAATGGCTGTCGGTTCCTCTTTTTCTGATTGAACAATGGAACAGGCAAACAGCCTAAATTGAATGTACCAATAAATTAGTACATAATAGACACAGAAGCAGATCTAGTTATAAAATAACTAGCATATAATATACATTTTAAATTTGTCTACTTCTATATGCTAATATACTTCGACATTTCTATATCTTTGGATTTTTATTCTTTTTAAGATCCTGAATAGCCTCATTTGTCTCTTCAAAAACCTTTTCTTATTCTACCCTAACACTGTTTTAATTCCTCACATATGGAATTAATTCCCATCTCCTCCCTCATCCCCCAACCTTTCCAAATCCACTTTTTGTCTTCCTTATCCATGTCCTGTGCTTGCCTATTACCATATTCACTGCAGGGGACCTTTGGAGTACAATGGAGGTGAGGAAGAACCAAGCTCTGAACATGCTTTGAACAACAGTGCCATATCCTTTTGGGCCTTGGTTCTCAAAGCTTCATTGGACTAAGATTCATCTGGAATGCTTAATATGCAGGTTCCTAGACTCCACTCTCACTGATTTTATTTCAATAGAGTTAGCCTGGAACTCAAAACTCTGCAATTTTAACAAGTACCCCAGGTGCCTATAATTATATTTCTATGTGGATCATTTTGAGAATACCTTAGAGAGTAATAATATTCGGTTCAAATAAGAATAAATACTACTACCAATTCCTCCAGATAGCAGATCTAGGATCTCAAGTCAGGCTAAAAGTCACAAAATATAAACTTTAAAACTTAGGGAACTCGAAGGGGAAAGAAGTTCAAAATGCTTGTGCATTGCTATAAATCAAGTCAGTAGAAGAATCTAGATAGGACCCAAGATTCTTAAATAACAGTTCAGATCTCTTGCCACTGTACCATTCTCTAACTGGTCATCATCATTTGTATTACAGGCAAATACAGACTCTCTGAAAACTCTCTGATTGAAGGCTGGGAGAATTATGGGCTCTGGCATCAGACTGCTTGGTTCTAAATTACAACTTCAAAGTAGGTTTGAATTACAACTTCAGAGTATGACCTTGGGCAATTTCCCTAAACTCTTTGTGCCAATATGACATATACTGACAGCATAATGATTGACAGCATGGACTAAGAGCCAGATTTCTAGGTTCAAATGCTGATTCTGCTAATCATAGATTACTTATTTAACCTCTTTCAGCCTTGGTTTTCTCATCTGAAGAACAGAAATGATTATAATAACCTATCTCAGAGGACTGGTGTTAAGGATTAAATAAATATATATAATTAATGTCTTGAATACAGTTAATCCACCATAAATAACAGTTACTATTATCTTAGTTATGCATCATCATTCCCCTGGTTCTCATCATCCTTGCCCTCTGTCTTTACACTAATGAATTGGGAAAGCAAAAGTGATAGGAGAAGCTATTAGAAAGACAGAAGTGCTTCTGAAAACGTTTTTAGCAAGTCAGTCACAAATACAAACAAAAACAGATCTATTTCTTTGTTTCCAGTTTAAAAGCATAGAATAACTCAAGCGCGTCGAATTTGTAGGAAAAAACACCAAAATAAATCCAAGAAGTTTGATCTTACTCCCATATCTACCACTAAATGTTTTGTCTTGAGTAAGTTATTTTACTTCCTTCGGCCTAAAAAGTAGAGGCTACACTAACTGTTCAATCTATTTTAAAGTTATTTCCAAAACGTTACATCTATAAACTATACAAGCTTTGTATGATATACAGAAAATTGTAAAATAAAAGTTGTTCAATACCTGCTGTACTTCGAGCTGAATTTTCATTTAGACTTCGCTTCATTTCCTTCAGTATCAAAATTTATAATTTTCCCTTCAGCATTCCAAATTTATGATGTTGTCCCACTAAACCTGCAAAGAAATTTATAACTCATATTGTCTCACCACAAAACCAAATCCTCAGCCCAGTAATTACTGAAATTATGGTTTCAAACCACTTTCAAACCTGATCATGTAAATACTTTAGGGAGTCCCTTGCTTTCCAGAAGTTTACAACATAATCCACTTCTCCAACCCTGTTCAAATTAAGTTATGACTAGAGCAGCTGTAACCTTGCTTCTGAAACATATACAGAATTTTTCACACAGTATATGTAATTTATTTTAGAATACAGCACCCACAAAGAGAATTCTGAACCAGAACTACAAAGAGGAAAATGGATGACAGCATTGGCAAACATATATGCTTCCAAGACCAGGAAGGAAACACAGTATTTAGCCACTGGGAACATCCTCCATGCCCCACTTTAAGACACTTTGCAGGTTATCTGCCTTGGCATCAGTTTAAACTACCTGGATTATATAATACCAAAGACTAAGTCCTCCTGAGATCAGGACTTCAAGACCAGCCTGGCCAACATGTGAAACCCCGTCTCTACTAAAAACACAAAATTAGCCAGGTGAGGTGGTGGGCACCTA